GGCGCGCCTTGAGCAGCTTGAGATTGTGTTGATAACAGCGCCAGCCTCCCCTTCTCATACAATTCCAGATCATTTAATCAAGAGTATAAGGTAATGGAAAGTCAAAGAGCCTAAATTACCCAAGAAGAGTCCCAAGAATAATCGCGTCCTCCGCGATAGGAGCATAAGAGAGCAGAAGAAAACGGCTATGCACCCTTCACCCTTCTTTACTTGCACCAACAACTGCCTACCTCCACCACACTCACATGCGGGTAGCTAGACACTCCCCTTCCAAAATGGAGATATGCACTGTATCCAATCTGCGGATCCGGCGAAAGGTTAAGGAGTCGCGAACTATGAACGCTGCCTACTACAAGCTTATATGGGTATTACTAAAAAGCGCTTTAGGTTTCTCGACGGTGACGGTTGTTTCAAGAGGAGACCCGAAATGAACCCTTTTGGAATGGGAAAGAGGACGTGTCTTGGCGAGAACCTCGCCCGATATGAGCTGTTTCTACTTCTCACCACCCTAATACAGAGATACGAGTTTTTGCCCATAGGTAAGTATATACTCTAAAGACACCCTGTACGCGTACCTGCAATGTTGACCATTGCCCCAAGCGAAGTGGACAGACTCGCGAACTGGAATGGTACAGCTTTCGCCGCTTGGAAAGGTTCTGTGGCAGCAGAGCAATAGTACGTTTTCGTAGCTGAATTCCCCTCAAATGTCTTCGCCTATAAGCAAACCACGCCTCAGACAGCAACACGCAGCACGGCCAGCCATAGGCCTTGGCGTAACCCTATGCGTTACTCTGTCTGCGGCCTATCACGGGCGCCATTGATCTCTACAGCACAAGTCCGCCCCTCAGGACCCGGATGACTGAGGCCCTGCACGAACATGTGAGCTATGAGGCATGATGTAGCTAAGCGTTTAACTGGTCGTGTGGCGTGTTACTGTCTGCGGCATGTTTACTAGCAGGTAAAGACGTGAAAGAAAATTCAGACACCACAACTTCCTCTAGCTGCTGCCACAAAGTACTTTCGAGTTTTGAAAGTGCTACCTCCCTACACATGCGGTCCTCTCCACATCGCCCGCATAGTGTGATTTTGAAGACGGAGCACGATTGCTAGAGGCGGGCGGTTGTTGGTGAAAGGGCTGCGAGAGGTCGTTTGGAGACACCCCGCTCAGCATTCCACCAATGATGTTGGAACAACCGCCTGCCCCAAGCGATCGTGCCCCTTGCCTTCGAGGGATTTTTCAGAAATATGATATAATGTTCATGTTCAGAAGGAGAACCCCTTCCATCGTTGCAACGAAGTTTGGGTATCACTAATGTGCCAAAGAACTACAAATGTATGGTTGTTCCAAGAAAATTGCCGGATCTTGTCTAAAGCCAAAAAGACCTACGATCAATAAATTAAGTACATATAGCTTTGAAATTCAACTGTGTGACTATTTTTCTCAAACGAGCATCATTTCTGGGTTTTCTACCTCGTTTGATACACTTGCATACATATTTAGTTGAACATACTCTTGATCTCTTCCTCTGTATGTATTTAGAGAATTCTCCTTTTGATTCTATTTTCTCGTATTTTTGCAATATCTCTTACTGTGTTTCGTTAATAAAGGGTTGGTCTTCTGAGCATTGAAGTGAAGTTCTTCCTAAGGGGAGAATCGTTAGGATTTTATCTACACTCGGCGAACCACGGGCATTTCTATTCACCTGCAGTCTACATCTGCGGGCAAAAAGGGGCTCTTCCTAGTACGTGGTTGCGTGCGCGGTGGCGGCGCTGCTAGGCTCCAGACAATTGAGAGCAGAAACGTGTTCACAAAAGAGGGGGAAATGGCAACGGGAACTTGCAGTCGTCTCTAGGCGTACACGGGAGAAACCCTCCTCCCCTCCACTTTTTCCCGGAAATGGACTGTGTGAACTGGGCCTAGCGGTCTTCAGGCATCAGAAAGACGATCAAAGTTCCTCACGTCGCCACACAAAACGGGCCAGCGTGCGCAGCCGCCTGGCGGCTCATCAGCTCATAGGAGAGCTCCCTAGGCTGTGTTCTTACTTTGCGAGTCGCGAGAATCAGCCTTCCCGAATGCGTGAAAGGTAAAGCATAGGCATTTATCTGGCGCTTCAATAAAATGGGCGGTTAAGGCGTTCTGAACGATTAGACCAGCATGAGGATTGACGCTCGAAATTTCAATTCTATCAGAACGCCAGCGACCGACACCTACAGTAACCTTTTCGCTCAAAGCAGCGATTCTCTCGAAACGTCATTCTCCTGTTTGCAAGTTGCAGTTCATACGAAGCAGAAAGTTCACCAAGCTGACAAACGCTCTAGTTCAGAGCTACTGCAAAGAAAAAAAAAACTAATTCCGAAGAAACTATGCTCATGCAGATACATTACAAGGTGCTAACATAGTTCAGGAGAACTACGCGGCAGCGTCTTTCCACTTTTTTCCTGACCACAGCTATAGTCTAGTTCGCCGCGCATGAAGGGGCGAGTCGGGCGATATGAGTTTGGCGCGGTGCCAAACTCGTTCCACCAGGTGTCAAGCCAGTACCATATTGTTCGTATCGCTCGTTTTCTGCCAATCTTTCTCTCATACCCCCTTCAACAACTGGCAGAGAACGGGTTTTGCGCCGCGGCACTCTCACACTGCCTGACACCCCCCCCCTTTATTCGCAGCGAACTAGAACCCAGTTGGACCGCAGACGACTGGAAATGCACAGAGATAGTGGATAGAGGACTGCGGCTGTCAAAGCGCTGAAGGGAGCGCGCTGTCACGTGACCACACTAAACTATGAACTTAAAGACAGTTCCCGCGATTGCCTCCGCATATTCAGCATCGTCGTCTGCATTCGCAGAGAATATACTTCTTTCGTCACTCGAAACGGCGAGATAAAGAAGCTAGAGACGCGTGATTATTGCAACCACGATTACTTTCACTCTGCAAGACAACGGCTTACAAGCGGAACTGCGTGTGTACATAGCGTTGCTTGGAGCGTCGTAGGGCGATTTTCTATGCTTTTGCTGGGTGTCCGACGTCCGTCAAGTTCGTCCGAGGAGTCAG